TGCTGCTGCTGCTGCTGCTGCTGCTGCTGCTGCTGCTGCTGCTGCTGCTGCTGCTGCTATGGATTAACTGGATGTAGGATGAAGAGGAACTAGATCCCATGATGGAAGCAGAGCCTTGGAGACCCTGGTGGCTTTTCTGGTGCTTGCTGCTACCACTCTCCCCCTCTTCTCCTGATCCTCTCATGGAGTTCAGGCATTAGTGGAAGATAAGCATGCCCATCCCTTTCCCCCAGCCACCCTCAACTGTGACAACCTGGAGGGCTTTGTACTATTGGGGGGAATTGTGCCCAGAAATCTCTAACTATGATTAAGTATATAGTGCTTTCACTTAAAAATCTACAGGTTTCCTTGCAAAGTTTTCTCACATTAATGGCTGTATTGAGAAAAGAAAGTGGGAAGAAATCTTTTTTTGTTACTGATGCAGTTGAATAATTGGGATTTGCATATCTTTGCTGTTGTGCAACACTTAGAGACCCACCAAGAGAACCAGTTCAATCTTCTGCTCACACAATCTCAGCCTTCAACTTGCAATCTTATCAGTTGTCAAAATAAAGGATTATTATTATTATTATTATTATTATTATTATTATTATCAGCCACTGAAATCATGGGGACATGCTGCTTTATGTGTAGATATATATTTACATATATGCAAGAACCAACAGGTGGAAGCTTTACAGAGAAAGATCTAAACTCAAAATAAGGAGTAAATTCCTAACCATGAGAGCTATTAAGTAGTGGAATAGCCTGCCTCCTGGAGTTGTGGTTGATTCGTCACTGGAGGCTTTCAAACAAATGTTGAGTAGCCATTTGTCTGGGATGGTCTGAGGATTCCTGCCCTAGTCTGGGGGTTAGACTGAAAGACCTCCCAGGTCTCTTTCAACCCTGTGATTCTATGATTGTATGATATATGCACAATAGAGAAAAGATGTATCCAACTGCCTGCAGCACTGTCATTTAATTTCTGCTCTGTCTACAATTAAACTCTGAAGGATATCAAAACTAGCAACTCATATGACCCAGTATTTGCAGAGTAAACAGAGCAAAACTAAGAGAAACATGTAAATTTTCTCATTGCCCACCAG